TTCAACTTAAACACACGCTATAGTTCACAACGATTCACGCACTTTACTTACGGTCACTACCGCGCTTGACTCAGTTGTCTGTCTCTGTCTGTCTGCAATTATCTTTCCTGTCACTTTATTTGCCAGCTTATATACTATAAGAGCGCATATCTAGCAAACACTAGGATGTTTGACAGGTTCCTCGATCTTTCTAGAACTCCAGCACATGCTCCCAGCGTCGCGCGACTTCCGCTGTCGTAACAGTATATATCTACTTTGTGTATTTGGTGTATTTACAATAAAACATATTTTATACAGTTCATCACAATTATTTATCAAAATTGAAAAAAGGGTGGGAGTTATAGAGGATTTTCTGTCTTAGGAATTTTGGGAGAACTGTGAAAAATTTAGATGGTCATTTCTTGTATTACTATACATATAAACTATATAAAACACACTTATGTAGTTTTGTAATGCACCACTATGTGGAAAACATCATTTGTACTAATTCACATTTACTATCCTCCTTTGTACCCACATTATCATTGATTGCATTGCCGTAGGATAGACATTTCATCATGCCAGTTTTCTTGAAATGCAGAGATGACACAACCCTAATTGATAAATCTGTTAAACACAAATGGCATTGGCAGTGGTGAGAAGAAAGATACTATTTAAATAGGCTATATGGACAGATGATATGGAAAATTGATATTCTTGGACAATGTTTTCATATTGTTTGTAATTGCTGTCTAAATTATGGAAGCAATGGCAGAAGGGTCCTTCATAATCACCATACCAAAAACAGACAGAATGTTAACCTATCTCAGCACAGCTAAGTAAGCAAACCCTTCCAGGTGGATAAAGCCACAGTACCTATATGCCTGATCAAGAAAACTTAGCTCAGAAGAAAACAAAGCAAGAAAAAGAAAAGGAACACACCACTTCAAAAGCAAAATTTCAATCAACCAGAAAATTGCTGAAAATCAGCAAGAAACCCTTCAGAAAACAAGGCTGTTATGCTGAAGTCCAGAAAAATAGTGAGAGAAACATACAAGAGGAAAGTTTCTCTACAGAGGAATCTACTGTCAGTTTGTCAGATACCACTGAAAGAAGGGCAAGGGAGAAGTCTGGGAAAAGAAGTACTGAGCAAGCAGGGTTATCTTTACCACATTGTAAGGAGTTACCAGGCAGCCAGTTCAGTGAAGTCCTAAAAGCCAAGGATGACCTCAATTATGGACACTATTAAGACTGCCAGATAAGAACATTAGAAAGGTCTCAAATTAGAGGAGGCAATTCAGTCCATTTTGCTCATTTGGTTGTTAATCAAAATATCTCAAGCTGTTTCTTCAAGGATCGAAAAAGGCTCAGCTTGCACAAATGCCATCTTCTATTGGTCCTAAATATACCTGCAGGCTGCACTTAATTTTCAAGTAACTTCAACAAAAACTATTTAGTTTTGTTTTTTAGGCAATAGGAGCAAAAAGCTCTTGCATACACCCAATTTTTAATTTGGAGAACTTTTTAAAACTTATGTTTGCACTTTTTGTACAGTAGTATGTGTTTGTTTGTTAGGTCATATATGTATACTTATTTTGTATTTGTAGTGTACCTGTTCAAATATAAACTTCTAAACATTGCTGACTCACTCTGCTTGGCAGTTTATATTTTCAGTCTTTACTACTTTGAAATACTTACTTGAAACTGTTTTAAGAAGTTATCTTTCCTGTTATGGGCTAAAACCCAACTGTATCGATGACCTTGTTCTTCATTTGCTTTGAAGACATCAACATTGATGATAAGTGTAACAATTCTTGGCTAGAATAAACCCAACAAACATACAAAATCCTATGGTATTATGTTTTACTACTTAATTATAATTAAATTTCCCTCACAATATCATAAACAATGCATCATCTGTACACATAAGTTACCCATCAAATTAACTGATAAGAAAAAAAAAATGTAATGCAATCAATAAAATATAAATGTAAATCAAACTTTCTTATTGAAATTAGAAGGTTAATACCAACCTTTCCAATATTTTGTTTTGATATTAGTTCTACTCTGAATTCATGATATGCCTAGCACACTTAATGCATCACTTAATTTGTTGTATCTCTAAATATCTATTTAAATTCAAAGGAGCTACATCAAATATAAAATGTCTGTTAAATATGTTCCAAAAACATATTTAAACAGTATGTTTTTCCACCAATTTTACCTACTTTACTAGTTTATAAAAATATATTAATTTCAAATAACTATTTCTCAATAACAACATAATGAAAAACATAAGAGAAGTATAAAGTAGATCATTCGTTTTTTTAACACTATAATGGAACTAAAAAATGGAAAATTTATGGAGCCAGAGAATTTCATGAACAACTTAAGTTTTGTATTTAGATTAACAATGGCTTAAGCTCTAAGACTGTTATGGAAGCCTCACTGTTATCTGATTTGCATACACTCTTCAATATAAAGATATAAGAATAAGCAGGATGACAGAAGGTTATTTGACTTATTAAGATTACTCTTTTACCCATTCAAACATCCTAAAATATTAACCAACTCAAACTAAGAATAGCTCTCTGTATAAGTGAGGTATGCCCAGGTAAAACTGAATTTACTTGTGAAAATTGGGATAGGTCCACCTAATAGCAAAAGGTTTCGAGAAGATATCTATTACAAAGTAATTCTAAGTTCTCTGATTTATATTATTTGTATTTCATTAACACATTAAAGAGGATGCCTCCACTGTCCACCACCCTAGCGACTTGGAAATGAAAAGTGGTAAGGACTCTCAAACTCCACTAAAAGAAAAGGGGGAGAAAATGCAGTGGAGAGTCCAGAGGAACGACAACACCTGAGACAGTGAAATTTTGAAAAGCAAACCATACTGATTTATTCAATACCAAGCATGGCAGGGATGGGCAGCTATCTCTTTCTGCTTTACCCATGTAGTGCAGATTTGACTAACTTAAGTATACTTGAACAGGCACCATTCGCCACAGAGTGGAATCGAGAAAGAAAAAGAGGGACATGCCCCTGAAAAATAAGAGGTGTACATACATACATATATATATACTAAAAGATAACGTACCCAGTTACAGTCTCATGAAAGAGTGAAGGATGGTACCAGGTGGATGATGGTACCCTGACAAGGAAGAAACAGCTACCCAAAGCAGTGAATAGGAGATGAACGTATGAGGTGTAGCCCCAGTGCTCGACAGACAAAATACCTCCAATGGATGACAGGGTAGACATGCAGGGAGAAGGGAAAGGTGCATTATTGCAGTGAAGATGAGAAGAAGGAGATAAGGAGTAAAAGGCTAATTAAATCACAATCCAAACCCAATGGGTAAGGGAAGAAGGAAAAAAAACACAAACAAAGAAGTGGAGTAAGGGATGGAAACCACAGGAAATGGATTCAAAGGAAAGAAGCTGTGAAAACAATGAAGCAACCCACAGCATGTACTGGACAGAGAAGGTCATCTGGATCCCACCAAGAAAAAATGTGGAAGATTGTAAAAAACGAAAAAGTTGAAAGCAATATACCACTTGAGCCACTGAAATGTAGGTTAACGAAATCAATCGAGAACAAAAGAACCAAATAGAGCTGAAACAGCCAAGAAAACCAAAGCAGTGCTGGTCAGGAAAGATCAATCAGAAAGACCTGAACAGGAGTGAAATAGATGAACAAAAATTTGAGGAAGAAGACTGATGGAGTGAGAAAAAATTATCATTATAATCTGGATGTAAACCTATTTGAACTTAACGACAGCAAGGGCAAAAATAACAAAAGAGGCAACTAGCTGGGAAGTGTTAAAAGATTCAAAAACTTCATGTAGAGGAGTACCCCACAGGAGGCAGAGCCACCAAAAGTTAGGAGGAGCGAGAGGTCACTCCTAGGTAGAATGTGTGTTGGGACTGGAAAGTCAATGAGCAACAAAGACAAAGCATCTGAAACACAAACCTCCAGAAGATATATGTCAAGTTTAAGGGTTCAAAAAAGGAAATCCACTGTTCACAACAAAGGGAACAAGAATGAGCATCCCCTTGTTGAGTGATATAAGCCACCACTGTCAAAAAGTCAAAATGAAACTGGATTAGTCAAATCCAGGCAAGAGGAAGAGAGTGAACTACAGCACCTTGGACTGGCAGAAGTGCCCGGGTGTGCAGGGGATAAGACCTTTCATCTGTAGACCATTGACCTGAAGCCTCCTACTGATCAAACCACCCATCTTTGGAGATGAGCATCAGGGAAGAAAAACAATCTAGAAGAGGGGGAGGAAGCGGTAAACCTGATGTTGTGGGGGATATGTTCAACTATCAACGCATACAGACAAAGAGGGAAAGATGAAAATTAAGAGGAAAACCCCAAAGTAAAGGCTCAGATAACAGAAAACTCCTTTGAATGCAATCGAGGAGGAGAATGGATGGTCCCAATGAAGGGGGACATTCAAAAATACACACCACAAAGAGACCAGAATGTGAGGTATGTAACAGGAAAAACTTAATCAACTGGAAAATCCAACTACCCAAGCTGACTGTGGAAAGAGTAGATGAGTATTTTAAGACTACCCCCATTCTAGTAATGTGCCCTTTATCTAACATATAAATTACAACATGAAAAATATAAAGCTTCCAAAAGTATAAATATTTTGCATCTGAAAGAGCTGTTACATACCCTTCCAAAAGCAACGAATTTTTAGTGGAATTTCACTACCCATGAAATTCTGAAAAATGTCAAAATGTAGTTCTGATACATACTGTTCTACCACAATTTTATACTGGCTGTGGTTGTCATGTACTTTACTGATGTGCATATTCAAATTCATTTTAAAATAATTTACTAAAACTCTGTATTTAATCTAAGTATAAAAATTCATGATTTTGAGCCAAAATACTTTAATAATTCATATTAGTCTTAAAAATACTTTTGACTATTTTATGTTTATTGAAAAACATTATCCTTCACTTTACAATGAAATTTCACATTCTTGTATGCTAAACATTATTTTCATTTATTATTAATTTAATTCTCTTATGAATATATTTTCAAAAAGGTTTGTAAGAGAAAGTTTTTGGATGAAATACATTCCTTGCTAGCTTATCAAACTTAAGAAAAACATACCAACCTTTACTAATATTTTTTTCCAGATCCATTTAGACTAGCGAATAGACATTTCTTTCAAAACATCATGCAGTTCAGTAAATTTTCTATATTCATATATTTTATATGTTATTTCAACATACTAAACATTATCTTAAAACAGTTATTTGTTTAGTTATACAAGTACAAAAGAAACACTATTTTTCATCATCTCTAAATGATCAACTTCTATCACAACTTAGTCCTAATTATGAGCATCACCACATTCTAATTCTACACTAAATTTTCTTTATAAAATACCCAAGAAGATTAAGTATGCCTCATACTGACAGCTAGCTCTCTGTTAGAATTATAGATAGGTGGCAAATTCTTTAAAACTAAATTTTCCCCAGCTTGAATATTTTGTTTATGACTTCCCTGTGTGTGTTTAACTTCTGCTGAATTTTGTAATGAATTTACTATATGAAGACAAAGATTAAAATGTAATGTTCACAGTTCAGAAACAAATACAGAATTTTTGATGAAATTATGAATTTAATTTTGAAGAGGTTTCCCTATGAGTGACCAACAATAATATTACATTACAATACCAAATACATAAAGAGCCAATCAGTAATTAGTTAACTAGAGCCAATATTGTGCTTGTTAACATTAACAAAATAGTGTGTAAAGACCCAGAAATCCCTCTTCAAATATTGCTGTTTAGAAATTGTAGACTAGAATAAATACCAACCAATTATTACAGCCCCCTTACATAAACATACCTTGGACATTAAGGCATTATTTCATGCCAATTAAAATGATAAAAATTAAAAAGTTTGTTAGTTAACAGCTGGACACAAGTATTCTCCTTAAGTAAGCTCAGCAAAACATCTTCCTTCACAACCAATGTAGAAGTAAATGTCAGATTACAAGTAGTATGACTCCAAATGCTATTAGTTTTGCCAAGCAAACAAGTCCATGACATTTCAACTTATAATTCCTATAATAACAAAAAAATAAGAACAATTAAACACTTGTCAAATACATAATTTTACAAAAAAGTTGCACATTCGTAAACAAAAAAAACCATCTATAAATAGTTCTTTTGGGGGTAGAATACATGTAATCTTTAAGAGATGCTATATATGTATAAAAATCTATTATTATGTCATAATCCAGTATTTTTTATTTCTTTGCCTGTGTATAAAATGTAGGACCTCCTACAGACTCTACTAACTGAGTTAGGGGATTAACCTATGAGCAACTGTAAGTAAGGCACTTTTTAAACAACTCACACTACTATGTTATTTACATTTTAAATAATAACTAAAAACAGTCTACAATTTTTACATCTGAACCTTTGATATATGTCAGGGATGGTCTTAGGAGAGTGTGGGGCCTGAGACAAGTACTAAAGATTAGGTTCTCGAGTTTAGATACTCAGCCACTGAGGCGGTTGCCTCAGTGGTCTCACCCTAAGGCTGGCCCTGATATGTGTTACACTATAAAAGTAAATGTAAAACATTAACCAATGGTATCCTTTCATAACTACTGCATGTAGACAGCTGCACATGTTAGGATCACAGGTCAGGTGTGACAGTTTGGACAAGAATAACAAATGATATCCATGCCAGAAGAACTTAAAACACTTGACCTTGCGGGAGTACCCAAGAGGCACATCACAGATGCTGAGAGTAAATCTCCTCCACTGAGAAACACTATGAAAAACATTGACTAAATTTTCATAGGTGTCATCACAAGAGCAGATCATCAGTGAAGGAAAGCTAGTGGAAGCCATTGTTGATTAATTGATAAATGATACCAATTTAATTATGCAAATATATTTAAAGAGGTTCACATGCAAACTAGGATAATGTTCTTCTAAATAACACTTGCCAAAACAGTGGACAGGTGTGAATTTAATACATTGTGACATGGAAAACAAAATGCAAATTGTCAGAAGGATTTCCATATCCTTTACAGATGAGAAGCCTGATTCAATAAGTATGAGGGGCATGCAAGAAGTCTCTCCCATGATGTGGATTCCAGTGGATGAAAAGGCAAGATAATAATACTGGGCCCTGATTGGGTATAGTAACCTGTGAGGCTTAAAACATGCAAATCCTAGAGGAAGTACATGGATAAAGATATAAATAAATTAATGTTCTATCACCTTCCCAAGCTAACCAACAAGAATTGAGTAAAAAAAATAATCATGGAAGAGATATAAACTATTTCTGACACAGAGGATTTTAGAAGCATCAGTGGCATACATTTTAGGGCAATGACGATCACAGTTGAGAAATAACAGGGAGAAGATATTTAAGGAAGTATAGTAACTAAAGACTCAATCATGAGCAAATCATAAGAGTCTAAAAAAAAAATACCATGAACAACAAGAAGAACTATAATTACTCAAGAAAGTCTGTAGACAAGAGGCTGCAGCCTAGTTTTTATAAAGGAAAAAAAAAATTTACAAAAACTAAATAACAAAAAAAATTTGTCCGTCATAATATTTGCAAGAAATAAATTAAGAGTCAAACTCAAAATAGAAAAGAGCTCCATGCCAGGAGGTCTCTGAAACAAGTAATCCAAGTAAACTGAAATATAATACTGAATAGTTGAGTCACCAAAGAAGGAAGCTGGCAAGATAATCTTCAGAGAAAGCCTTTGAGTGGCAAAAAAAGGGTCACATAAAATAGATGACAAGATCAGACTTCTTGTAAAAAGGTTTCTATGATGGCTGAAATGAAACACATCTGTTAGATACATACTCAAAACATAAAACACACCATTTATTAGTAGACCCAAATTTTGTGCCTCTAAGGAAATCATAGACAGTAACTAACATAAAAAACAAATGATGAGAGCATGGCCAGTCTTGAAAAGATCCTGCCAAAACCAAGATACCTTAATATGGAGGATGGTGAACAAAGGAGGATCTAAATTTCCTATAAACAAAACAAAAATAGAAACAGAAGACACATGTTTTGAATACAATAGAAAGCAAACTTTAAAAAAAAAAAAAAAGGACAAAAACAAATATACAGATGCAAAAGAAGAATTATCTACATTCAAATGAAACTTGTGAAATAAGGAGAAATAATGAAAAACTAGTTCTTGTGATGGGAAAGATCATACTAAAAATACCTTCCAAAATCTCCAGGTACTTCAGGTAACTGTAAATACTGCAAAGGCCCTAGTAAAGTCCCAGAAAGAGCCTCTAAATCTAGAAAATGACAGTAAGACAGCAGATACTGCAGAGTAAATCCCATTCCAGTCTGAACATCATGAGCAGGGTTTCCTTAATAAAATCAGCAATACAAAGGCACAGGTGAAGAAGCTATTTTACATGAAATAAGATCATAAGCCTTAACTGTCACAGAAACATCAAAATATTTTTAGCAACAAAAAATATTCAGAAAGATTGAAGAAAATAAAAAATAAAACTTTCCATGAATAACTTAAAACTACAAAAACATAACAAACAAATTGAGAGAAACCAGTTTGTTATTTTATTGTGTAAGTCTGGGATAATGCCCTCTCAAAATAAATATATTATTAAAGCATTTGAAAGTCAGTCATATCTATCATACTGTCTTAAACTAAGTCATAGTGTTTTTCATTTAAAATTATAATTAATATATTTTAAGAATCTTTCTTGTCCTTTGCAATTGCACATTTTGTTCAATGTACACCATGTCTGAGCAGGTCAAAAAGCTTCTGACAAGAAAACCCAACATGGGAGGAAATAAATCATAGACAAGAGCCGAGGTAACAGATGAATAGGAGAAAAGACATACAAAAGGAATCCTGTCTTGTCTTGACTGAAAGCATCTATCACCAGAGTTAGTGGATGTGGAATAAGAGACCAGAACTATAGGCTAGCATTCCAATGGGTTGCAAAGATGTCACTCATTGGAGTACCAAACTGAAAAGAAATCTATTGAAAGACCACCTGATGGAACATCATGCTGGTGGAAGAATCTGATAGGGTCGAGAAAGGTGATCTGCTATCAAAATTATAACTCCTGCCACATGACAGGCCAAAAGATGGATGTCATTGGAATGAGCCAAAAAAGAAGATCCAAAGCCCAAAAACCAAGACCTCAAGAATGAGAACTTCTTTGACTAGAAAGATATGAAACCACTGTGGAGTAGTCAGAATGAATCATAACTATTTTGTTGTGCAAGAGAGGAAGACCTGGAATCATCACTAGATGTACCGCAAGAAGTTCAAGAACATTGATATTCAGGGCAGGTTCGTGGTCAATCCAAATACCCTGGAATGCCTATCCCAGAAGAAAGGCATCTGATCCACGAAGAGATGGATTTCCACAAGAGGAGGTGGTATCCAGACCCTGATATTTGTACTGCTTAAAGGCCAGTACTACTCAGCAGAAAACATATGTGGCTGAAGCAAGTTCAAACAGGAGAGCTTGGAACTGCTACATCTGGTCCTCATGCAAAAAATGTAGAAATTGACAAGACTCTGCTATGGGGATTTGAAGGGAGGCATCTGTAACATCAAACTTGGTCATCCAAAGATCAGATGTGAAATGCCATTGAAGTTGAAGAAAAGATTCCATGGTGAAACAAGGAGGCTGCAGGAAGAGATTGGGTCAAGACAGATTGATGATAAGAAGCCAATCTCTAGTGTTCTTGGTCACTAGCAAAAGACGAGAATAGAATCCTGGATGAATGGGATCAACCTTCTGAATAGGTAGACACCGACGCCACTGGTGCCATCTCAACCTTCCGAAGATCCCCGGGAATATGGACGGAACAGATTCTGCAAACTAATAGGATGAAGTGTCAAAGGTGGGAGCCGCGAGCCACAATGATCGATCCTCCAGAATTACCCATTGGAGTAGAAGAGAGGTGAGCAGCTAATAACGATAAAGAAAACTGCAAACATGCCACATAAAATTGGGCTTCAAAAGTTTCAGGAACTCCAGAAAACTAGTAAGACCGAAAACGGGGCGACTCTCAGAAATCACTAAGAGGAGTATCACAATACAGTAGTAAATGTGAAATGAATCCGCAAAAATGGAGATATGGTAAGAGAGATATCAGGTTCTAATCTGGAACCCCATAGATCCAACAACAAATCCAACTGTTGAGTGTCCAAATATATTACAGCCAGACAATGATAAGCCAGGGCATGTTGTTCTGATAAATGAGGGGAGCAAGGCATAACAATACTCTCTCGTAATTACATTGCAAACATCCCAGCATACACGGCAATATTAGGGGAAGAAGGAAGAATTAAATAATCCCACCGAGATCTATCTGACAACAAAGCAGGGTAGATTCAAAAGCAAGGGAGTGAATACCTAAAGCTTCACAAACTCGCATAACTAACTGCAAAAAAGAGGCAGCAGATTAGCCCACAGTAGTGGCAGTTCTAGTGAAAGAAGAAGCAGCAAACTGTCTAAATTCTCCCCGGTATATTCAGGCTCATGATGAAAAGCCAACTCAGAACCCCTGGGGAAAAACTACGGGCCACATGAAGGACTCCAACTCATCCCAAATCAGGTCACAGACAGCCTCCACCGAGAGTCGGACCCCCCCCCCCCGACTGCCGACTACCAGACAACAAAGGAGGAATGGACGAGGTCCCGTTTATCCCCGCGCCAGAAACCATTATATAGGAATTCATACCCACATTTTTTGTTTCTTTTTTTTTTGTTCTTGAACTGCAAAAGAAAACCAACGAAATATCAGCAATGGGGAAAAACAACTACCATACTAGTGTCGAAATGATTCAAAAAATGTTAACCACAAAACATAATTCCTAGATAACACTTTGTCGAGAAAAAAAGTGATTATATTGTCGGCAGACAGTGCTTATATACAGTACCTGCATAGAGGGCTTATGAGGGCCAGTGTAAAGTTCTCCAAATTAGGTATTGCCGAGGGCAGTCGAGTGGGGTATAAAGACTGGAGCAAGTGAACACGATGTTTGGATGGCAAAGATGAAGATTGAGAAATAGCTATAAGTGTCAGCAGAAGTATGTATGTTTTGGAATTCAATTTTGAATGCTTACTCTAAAGCTACAACATCCCCTTGGATAAACCCATACAAAGATGTAGCATCAGATTAGAGTACATCTCGTCATCTACACCAGAAGAACACCACTTTCAACTGAATGGTTTTATTATTTGTATCGTATATCATTATCACATTCAGGAGGATACCTCCATGGTTCACCACCCCAGTGGCTTGGATCTGGAAAGTGGTATGAACTCCCATAGTCCACTGGAAGAAAAGGAGGGGGGGGAGAAATGCAATGGAGAGTCCGGAGGAATATCAACACTGGAAACAGTGCAACTGGAGACCATGAAAAACCCTATTTTGAAAAACAGACCACTCATGATTTATTCAATGTAAAGAATGGCAGTGATGGGCAGCTATCCTCTTCTGCTTTACCCATGAAGTCCTTGGGTTAGTATGATTCAAAATGGGCATATGAATGAAACAAATATATCGCAAGGAAAGCCTATGAGAGATCTTATGGAATACCCCATCTCAACAGTGTGCATTTAGTGACCATGGAAATTATAATTGTGACGTCATCCTGTCCTTACAGTGCAGATTTGACTAATTTAAGTATACCTAAACAGGCACCACTCGCCACAGGGTGGGATCCATAAAGAGAAAAAGGATATGCCCTGAAAAATAAGATATATCTAAATATACAAAAAGGTATTTTATCCAGTCACAGAAGGATGGTGACAGGTGGAAGATGGTACGAAGAAGAAACTGCTACTCAATGCAGATAATGGGAGATAAACGTATGAGGTGTAGTCCCAGTGCTTGACGTAAGAAGTACCTCCAACATATGATGAAGGTGAGATGCAGGTAAAAAGGAAGGTGCCTAATCAGAGTGAAGACACCAGGAATTGATTATGAGGAAAAGGAGATAAGAAAGAAAAGGCTAATCGAATCAAAAGGGTAAGGGAGGTGGATGGAAACGAAAATGAAGAAAAAGAAGAATATGCCCAATGAGCCACCAAAGTGGATGCATAGAACAAGTCGATCCACAACAAAGAAGGACAGATCAAGCTGAAGCAACTGAGAAAACCAGATCTGTATCAGCCAGGAAGGAGCATCAGATAGTCCTGACAGAGAGTGGCAAGAATGAATTAAATCACCCAGAGAAGATAACAAATGGGATGAGAAAATAAAAGTATAAACAGGTCCCAATCTGGTCTGATTGCATCGCCAGCCAAGGCAAGTGGATGAGGAGCCAGAAACAAAGACATGGGGATCTGAAACAAGCTCGAAGGGTAAGGCACGAAACTCGTACTCAACCCCATGAACAAACTTAAGACAGTGCCATGAGGGATGAAAAACAGGAATGTTGACCATAGCATCCTCAGACCTGGAGAAAAAGCCCACCATAGTGTGATAAAAGACAATATAGGAAAAAGGGAAAGAATCAAGAAGTGATTGAGGTGGGACAGAACAATCACGGAATTCCAACCTGCATCGATAATACACGACTAATGGAGGAAATCTTAGATGTAGGACAGGTAAATGACAGGAAGGTGCCGGACATGGAACATGAATAAAGACAGCAATGACCAAAGAGACAAACAAGCAACCAAAAACAGAAAAAATCGAATGTAGCAATACAGATACCCCATGTGATTCTATAGTTACAGGAGTAACACCACCACCCCAAAAACAAAATAGACCAGTGGAGAAAAGGAGTCGTCTATAAGTCTTAATCAGAAGTGGAAGGGAAACAAAACTTGGTACAAGACAGTGTCCCACCCCAGTAGATCCCAAAACCGAAGAAGCCACTTTGGTAGGGAAAGAGCCGAAGATGGCAATCACCCCAACATGGAGGTAAGGAGAAGGAATGTATCCCATGAAAATGCCCAAGAAATAGATGGAACACCTCAGAAAGAAGGTGTATGGCAGACAATAGCAGTAGGAGAGGCAAGAGAGGAAGACATAGCTGGAAAACTTGGCTAGGGAGAAAGGGATAGAATTAACTAATTCTTCCCCAAACAGGCAGCAGAGATTTGAAGTGTAGAGATACAATAAAACAAAACAACAAAATGAGATCTGCCTGATGGTCAGCTAAGGCAAAATGAACCAAAGCCTGTGGATAACGAAGCACGCAAGCACCATCTCTCAAAATATACACAAAAAGGCCCAGCATGAACGAAAATGTCTGGAAAAGGAGGAAAACAAGAAATAAAAACTGTGAAACATATATAAAAAGGGCTGAGATAGGTCTAGCAGACTGTGCAGTAGAGGCCTGGGAAGGCCAATTCATTATGAAGTGGGAGAAAATTGTCAAAATAGACGTCGTCCAGAATGAGTTCGGCAGTTTGAGGAGGAAGATAAGCAATAGTGGGAGAAGACTGGACAGACCCCAGACACAGGGTCCTCAAAAACAAAATTAATTGTAAGAAGTATAAAATATAATCAATTACGAAAATGAAAAAAGTCGTTATATTATAAAATTAAGTAAGTTTATATTGACAATATAAAATTTAGGGATTTGTTGAAGAAACAATATATTGAACCTAATTCATGACTTACCAGTAAGATGAATCACAGGTAAGCCTAAAATTACAAAGACACATGTTAAGCCTAAACTAACATTTTAGTACAAAAGATATCACTAGACATTAATTAAAAAACTCGAGGTGATAGTTAGGTAGAATTGAATAGAGGTAGTCACATGCTTCAGGAGGGTGTGTCGCACTCCTACTGCTGGAGGATTGTCCCATGATTATTTGCATGTGAAATGAAGTTGAACCAACCACATTGATCTTAGGGTATGTGGGAGCTCAAAGCTTGTGGCATGCGAAAAAAATTTGCATATAGAAGGCAGCACTGAACGAGAATAGCTATTTATGTGAGAGGAGGTACATTTAATGTACCCTATTGGAATTATCTTCCTTGTAATGGTGTCTTGCATTAATCTGAGATATCTGATATTCAATTGTGTTAGAATGTCATGCTGATGACCACTTAGTATCTCTCCTAAGTCTTTATAATAATCCATTATATAGCTTGCTGTTATAATATTTCATTTTTAAGACATCTAGCCTGTCAAAACAATATCACCACAGGTTTTTTTCTTGTTGTTCTTCCTGTTTTGAAGTTCCATCATCCTCTGACATAAATTTTCCTTGTTATTAAGTAGTAAACTACTAAACTATTTTTTTGCCTATACTTCACTGGGTTGACTTTATGACTGATTGTCTTTTAAGAAGACAGAAATGAGCAATTCTATACTATGCATTATGTGATTTAGAACTGTAAAGTAACCTAATAGAGTTACACAATATGTGATGAAATGCATATAAATATAGGTCTGACTTTTTGAGAGCAGATTCTGAGAACAGGTCATACTTCTCATTAAATGAATCCTTAATGAAGGATTCATCTGAACAAAAAAGTATAAACTTTGAAGTTAATCATCAGTTAGAACTAAATTATAGATATCACATCTTGCAAAATGAGACTTCACCATCCCTTCCAGTGTACTAATATTGCTCCCATCTTGAAACAGTTTAGAGCAATATGCAAGCACAGTTGTCTCTTCATTCATAAATTCATGACATTTTAAAGGGCAAAAGGGAGCTTATTATCCCATCACAGATGTGCCTTCTAACTCCCTACTATAAGCACTCCTTACTACTTATGTATTCATCCAATCTTTTCTTGAACTCAGTTAAATTTTCTGCCTCCACCACCCTCGAAGGCAGCTCATTTCAAAAGCCAACCATCCTGTTTGAAAAGTAATACTATCTAACAGGGAACATTTCTATACAATACCAGACCCCATACTAAGTGTTACCCACATTTGCACAAAAAACTATGACAGCTTGGGCATCCTTACTACAAAACCTAAAAGAAGATGTTGGATATTGTTCGAAACTGTTGTATTTCAGATTAAACAAATATAAATAGTGATAATCAGTAACAAATTTACTGGAAGCCAAAAATGTAAAAGAAACAGATTAACCTTAGAAAGGTTAACTTGAACTTGACCATAGAAAAAACAACAACATAGTAAACCCCAAGTTTCAAATAACTTTTTATATTTAAGATTTTCTTTTCTTAAGTAGTATTTATTAAATATTAGAATAGAGGCTAAAACTATGAAACATAGTTAGTAGTACCAGTTTCAAAAATGATATACTTTTCGTTTTGGCACACATATTAGAGCAAAGAGTTAAATTAAAAAAACACAAAAAATAAATAAGAATTATAATGAATAATGTCATTTTGTTGTATAGGCCTAGACCACCTCTGTTATTACTATTACCAGTAAAACTAAATGGTACTTCCTCCGGCCTCATATATTAACGTGATATTAACGTTTGTATTACTATTAGTACCAGATAGTACTAATAGTAGTAGCAGAATTTAACAGATAATACTACAGCAGGCTATCACAATGAGTTAGTATTACGATGCAACTACGTCAAAAGGATTGTTCAGCGCTAATAGAACTAGAAGTTAACTTACGGGTGTTACATATACTATAGACAGTATAGTACTATAATAGGTCTAATTAAATTACAGTAACTGTGTAACACCAACACACCAACTTACGATTACGTAAACAATAACAGTATAATTTTCGTCGTGAACTAGAGACAAACAGTATTACTCTTTAACACTGTCGCAGCTTTTACTAGAGGTAGTGCCACTGTTATTGTTAATGTTATTCTTAATCGTGATAACGAGGTCTAAGTTCAAACTTTCTTAAGTTTTTTCTTTCAGAACTTATGACTTCTTAAGTTGTAATTAGGCTTACTAGGTAGACTAACAGTAATAATTCAATACCTGCTTGAAAAAGTTCAGCACTTCAAGTTCAACAACTTAATTGTCCAATAGTTTGCTTAATATTATATTATTAAGCTGAATGAAGGCTAAAAAGGATTCGGTGAAGTATGCTTGTCAATCGCTCATTAAATTTACAATAACAAATTCATATATAAATAAATAATAAATTATTTATAAAAAACTATGCTACATCTTCACTAATACAATGCATTGCGGGTAAAATTGAAAGAAATAGCAGACGACAGTCTTCACGAGCAGAAGATAATAAGAGCTCATATTGACAAGTTCATAAAAAGTTTAACGGAAAGCAAAAATCCTAAATTTTATATAAAATAATAGCAATGAATAATTATTGAATGATAGTGTGAGATTTACATATTATTACAGCTGTATATATATATATATAAAGTGGAAAATGAAATACCAATATTGCCTGTAACAAGAATATATATATATTCTACTGAACTTCATTTGATTAATAAGTTAAAAAATTTTATTGACAATATTCATGTATAAATAATAAATATTTATAAAATGCTAAACAAGTTTAGGTTACAGCTACACTGATGTAACTTTGAGAAAAACTTGGCAAGATAACTGACAACAGTCTTCACAAACAGAAAATAAGTAATGAGTAAACTGAAATAGACAGCAGCTGCCTGTTGTAAAAACACAAGTATAGAGGATGACGACGTTTCGAAAGACTCCCGTCTTTTTTATTCAGGTCACGAAAGACGGAACACTTCCGAAACGTCGTCGTTATCTACATTTGTGTTTCTATAAACGGCAGTTGTGGTCAGTTCCGGTTTACTCTCAGTCATTTATAGTGCTGTATGGATTACATCATAACTTAAGTTGCAACTGCAGTTCAGATCAGGTCCAAGTTTGAGAGGGTACATAGGTCCTAATAAATTGGCCAGTCAGTGTACACACACACGTATGTATATATATATATATATATGATCAGTAATTTGTCTGATATTACGCAAATTACCGATCAACAAATTAATATATTGCTCTACTGCATTAATAGCTTTGTGTGAAATTCAACAAAGAAAGAAAGAAACATTAATCAAGAAATCAGTTTAATCCAAATATTAGACAATGTTTTAAATGATTTTGTTCTAGGATGATTTTATTTCCATAATGTAATTTAAGAAACTAATTTTACATGGCAGGTTGTCTTTGTATATTTTAATCGTTTTATATATATACATATATATATATATATATATATATAT